CCCTTCTGTTGCAATGTAATGTCCACACTCATAAATTCGTTTACAATAACATACAAATGCCTCAACATTTCACAGAAATGTATGTGTTTTCTTACATAAATAAAATTTACCAGTAATGTTTCATTTGCATCAGGAATTATCAGACACAATCTACTTGTTGGTGACTGCTTTTTGATTGAATCATCCTACCAGAAAAGAATATTTCTTCAGAGACTCAGCGTAATGACAGTCATGACATAAATGTTCATAACTTTGCACATGACATTGTGTACATAATGAAGTTGCGTATTTATGTGGATTAATTTTTGATTTGTGTATAAAATATTGTGCAAGATCTTAAACTGAAATTCTTTAACTTTACTGTCTGTTGTAATTTTCATCATAAGTTTGTAACTTTCACCCCATTCAATAGTCCCTTAGTTTAATTCCACTTAAAGATGTGACAAAAAACCTGTCACAAAGCTATTTTTTATGCTTTTTTTTAATTACAAATTCTAAGTCTAATTCCAGAGGTATTCCCATGACTTTAAATACATTGTATATCCAATGAAGATCCTCATTTTTGTTTTTCAACTGTTCTAGGATAGTCGATACAAGACCCAACCATTTCAATTTGTGTATCCATTCGCCCCATGCTATATCCTTCCAGGAAATAACTCCCATTTTTAACATCTTATGTTCATTGGTAGCATGAATAGAAACCACCGACCTGCCAGGCAACCGAAAACAAGGTTATTTTAGTGCTGTAGTGTTGAACTTATTACAGCGCCCCCTGGTGTCAGAAAGCTTATAATCTGCAGTTGACATAAGCATTTTCTTCATACAAGAAGGCAGAGAATAAACCTGCTTTATAAAGAAGCATGCATTACAGTGAGAGGCAGAAACCTGTGAACGTTTCAGTACACATTTTATGAATATAAATTGTTAACAAATCTAAAATTGACCTATCTCAAATTATATTGTAACATCATAAAGAGTACTAATTAATATTAATGAGTTAGTTTGACATCATCCAATCAGCAGGCACCTCATTTTGAATAAACAGACAGTATAGGCTAAGCTCTTGAGCCAATCACTAATAAAAATCCAATTTTTTTATTATACATATGTTAATTTGATGCAGAAATAAAATAACTTACGCATTTTGATGTCCTCGTTGAAAACAGTTGAATATAGGATGTTTATCACTGTACATATTAGGGTACTAAAAAAAGAGAATAGAATAAAAACATAGAATTAAAAGAAAAGCAATCATTTATTTCAAACATCTGGAAAAAACCTAGCAAGGGGTCATGAGCAGTGTCAACTAATATTGATTGGTTGAGGACCCAATGAAAAGCTGGGGGTAGTGAAGACAAGACAAAAAGACAAGACCAGAATTGGGCAAGTTTTTTTTTAGTTTGGGATTCAGACTAAAAATAGCAATAAATGAGAGTTATTTTTTTTTTAAATGTTTACCATAATTCAAAATTTTTCCTGGGTCGGTCGGTCGCCTAATTTGCTTACATTATACATAAAATTTGCATATTTGGGAAATGTTCTAGTGGGTGGAGGGAAACAATTTTTTTTAAGAGATTTAATAATTGGGAAATATATAAAATAAACAATGTATTTTAATTTCATTAAAGCCTGAATGTTTTTTATATAATGTTATATAAATTTCAATTGACATTTAGACCAATCACAACACCTCAGCAGACGCACACTGCTAGGATAGACCAATCACAACACCTTAGCAGACGCACACTGCTAGGATAGACCAATCACAACACCTTAGCAGACGCACACTGCTAGGATAGACCAATCACAACACCTCAGCAGACGCACACTGCTAGGATAGACCAATCACAACACCTTAGCAGACGCACACTGCTGGGATAGAATCTTTCTTGTGTACGCCAATTTATCGGTCGATGATTCTGGATACAAGACTTATGGGTAATGGGCATCACCAAATGGCTACTATAGCCAATGAAGGAGTCTTTTTTAGGTTTTAATTGAAGAGCAGGGGTTTGCCAGAGTAAATGTACAAGTGTGTATAACCAGGGATTTGTTTAAACAAGGGAACAGGGGCGCAGCGCCCTCATGCCATGGCCATGCGCCCAATTATTCTGGGGAGCTGATCCTCTGGCAACCATAAAATTCTGATTGATCATGGATCACATGTGGCCACAGTCTTCAACTGTGACCTGTCTGATAGTAATTTTGGCCCCAAGGAAGTCATTTCAACTTAGAATTATCAAAAACTGGTAGGGAGATCCCTATCTTTCCCATTTGGTGGCGCCGCTGATTGCAGTGCTCCCTTTTGCAGTTTTTTTCTAGAAAAATATCTGATAACGATATTCTGTATTTTGTAGAATGCGGATTATAGCATTATACAAGGTGAGGGATGTTCTGTTAATTCCTTGTCTTTTTAGACCACATACCGGTATATGCATCTCCTGTGTAAAATGGTCTGGTTTGAAATTTCATTACTGACTTATTCTGATATACACGTATTATCTCTAGTACGTACATACATCTATACTACAATCTACCATATTTCCTGGGCTCATTGTGTCAAAATTTGCACTAAACCCTAGCTAGCTGATTTGTGATTTAAATTAAATTGCAATCCTAAATTATTAAATAGGAATGCAATTCAATTATAGTTAACCGGTCCTACTACTAGACGCGCAGACACG